TTTCTCTCTTGTAAAGTTAGGTCCTACGGGATTCTAATACTATTACATATAACATTGAATAAATCACCTTGATAATATCATTTTAAAACTAAACTATTGCTAAATCACCATCAACACGCCTCTGGCGAGTTGCCTAATCACCTAAAACTATCTATTTTCGTATTTTCCATATCAAAGGATACAAATCACCCCGTAACAGTATGTAAACATCGCTTGTGTGTCGATCCCTCCTTTTTTGGCTGAATAGAAGTGATTGTATTGGTGACGCCATTTACAACACTACATTAGTAATAACGATATGATAGTTGTTACAGTTATTACAGAATTTTTTATATTATGCACAAAAATTAGTATTGTGTTTGCTAGATTTTTATACAATTGAACATTTTAGCTGCTATAAGATCGAATTTCTTATATGCAAGAAGAATCCGTTGTTCTAGTCCTGGCATACTCCGCTTAATGATAGTGGTTTGGATTCATTTTTTTTTCATTAAGTGATGATGTGTAACTTTCAAGTTTATGCTAAATGCTACTTAAAATTTTATTAATGCCGCGTTAACAAATTAGATCTCTTCTAGTTCATGATTCGCAGGCTTATATCGTAGAACTCAAAAATGTTGGGTAATTAACCTTCCATGTTCAAGTTTGCTGTGGATTATCGAGGAAAAATTAATTGTTATTCTTTATGATCGTGTTCTTATATCGTTTGAGAAACAAGGTCAACAATGTGATGATATCGATATGTTAATAATAGAAGTTAATATATTTTGACAATAAGAAGTATTTTTAAAGTAATAGGTGCTGTTAAGAAAAAGATAGTTACCGAAGTAACAATCTTTAATAGATTTCAGGAAAGGGATTCTTTACTATTTGCTAACGAATATATATATATTTGTTTGCTGTCCTAAATTACAGATCAAACCACGATTTTCGATTTTTTCGTTATGAGATTTTCAATAGTGCTTAGACCTGAGATCTCTGGATAGAAATTCTATTTTATATATTATGTATATATTTGATACGAATTTGTAAATAGATGTTATTCAGTAATCCTATTCTGTCCGTTTATATTATACATTTTTATTAGTTTATTGTGAATGTTAGGGGTTCGCATTACATAGGATATTTTTTTACGGCTGTTCTAATAAATTCTAGGACTATGGTTGTTAGGTGCAGAGATGCGATCCGATATCCGCTAATTTAATTTATAGCAAGATTATTATAATATCCATTATAGGAAAACGGATAATGAATTACATATTTAGTTGGGTTTCGTCATTGGCGGGAAGCGATACGTTTCGACTTTTGGCAAAAAAATTTAAAAAGCGAGATGTAAAAGATTGAAAAAAAAAAAAATACAAAATAAATAAAAGACGAATATTCTTTTATTATTTATTTTACTTATACGGTAGTTGTTATTAAGATTTTTATTCTCTATAGAGTAAATTTGTTAAATAATAAAATCAGTTGAAACTTGAGATCGTTGTATTGGATCATCTCAATCAATTGATTAAATAATCATGATGATGCTTAAAGCATCACAATTAGTGATGATATTCATAGAATTAAATACTCTTTCTATCTTCGTCATACTACCTAAAAAATCTAATAAACAAAAAAAATTTCATTCAACCAACTGCTGAAGCCTCAACTTTAGTTGTGTTGACTGCCCCTTCTAATGATTTTACCAATTTACTGTAAATTTTTTGTTATAATTTTATTATCTGTCAAATATGGAAAAACATCTACCCAAAACCATTCCGTTTGGGGTCCATGACCAACTGGTTATTGAACTCGCCACTAGATACCGTAAGTTGGCCTAATTATATATCACGAACCTATGTCTAGACAATTAATTCTGTGAGGTATAGAATAGAGAAAAAATTCCACCAGATCAGGGACAATTGGTGATAATAACATTTAACGTTAATAAGTAAATATCACCAAAACATCAACCACAAAAAATAGATGCAGTATAGTAAATTTATTATTTAGAGTATAGCGAGGGATTGGATTCACAATTTTCTATAATAAAGTTACAAACTATGATTCCATAAATAATCCAGTTATGCTATCGCATATGCTATAGGATAAATCTATTTTAAATTAAGTTATTCGAGTTATGAATATTTATTATTTTTCATATAAAGACCATTTTTCTAAACTAAGTGATTGAAATATTTTATTCATGAGTATTTGGCATTTTATTAATCTAAGTATTCAAAATAAACTATTCACTATTTCAGTTTGCGAGTATAAAGAATGTTCATCAATTCAAGTATTTAATTAGGGATACCAGAATTGGTAGAGTATAAACAACAGCTTAGTGTTTCACCATTAGCCGACCAAGAACTAAATGTTATTTATAAATATTATATATATTTGCTACATTATTTAATTCACTCTATCTCATAATTATTTTAATTCACTTTATTCGTATTAATTGAGTATCTAAATATTTAAAAAAAATTTTCAAGTTATTAATATGTATGATTTAATCTCATTTTATAAAATAATTTAGTATAGTTTAAATTGATCGCATGATTTATCAATGCAATTTTTTTAAATATCCGAATGTTGTAAAAAAGACATGCCATATTTTTTAACTATCATTATTTCAAAAGAAAGCATGAAATATTTCATTATGATTTAATGATAATCTTAGATTAGCGAACAATGTTTCATAATTGAACCTAACATCGATTGTAATCCAGTAATCTTTCAATTTATCTAAAAATAGTGTAATTGCACGGATCGATGATGAAAAATATGGATGTCATTACTAATTCCGACAATACGTAGTTTAATCCGTTTCTTTTAAATATAATTTATTTTTTTCATTTAACCATTTCTTCATGTGAATATTCAACCATAAATAAATATAATAATTATGGATTTTAGCTCTACTTTTCTTCCTCGTGATGATTTTCCTTCTATTATCCGTGCAAAAAATGAAGCAATCATTTTGCTTCAACAACGCGTTATTGAACTTCACGAAGAACTGCTCGAATCAAAATGTGAATTACTAAAAATAAAACATGAACAAAATAATGCAAAAGATGAGTTATTGGCAAATAGTATCAATCGTATAAATCGTATACAACGTTCTATTACTTTGAATAATTCTTGGTCATCTTGGTCATCCGCTTCCGGACAGTCTTTATCAGACGATTCTGATGAATTAAACCTGTATTGTTCCGTAGATTCATCTATTAAGACAGCGAGTATGCATTTGTCTATATGATAAGATTTTAATTAATTTGGTTTATCTAACTGTCATTAGAATTAAAATACATGGTTTGGGTTGGAAATGTCGTACCTCCCATCACTCAAATCGGGTTACGTTCACGGCTAGAAGAGGAATTTGGAACTATCTTATATATCGAAAAATTGAAATTTAGGGTATTTTACCTTTTTTTTTTTTCTTCATTTATCTAAAATAAATAAAAATTATAAATTTACAATTATTTTTGTAAACCTTTTAAGCCATGTGCCTTTGTGTATTTCTCTGATGAAGGTGGATTCTACAAAGCACTGGAAGTTGGTAGACTTATAGTGCAGGGGCAAGTTGTAAGAATTGAAAGACCTCGAGCTAAAAATCGTGACAGGTAAACATTGCAATAATCTAATTGAATCATTAAATTATATTATTTCTTATATATATATATATATATTTTCAATAAAAAAAGAAGATAGGAATGTTTAATAAAATTAATGATAGTAATATCATATCTCGTTATTCACGGATGCCGCTTTAGCATATTCTTCTGATATTCTGAATTTAAATCTTTGGTATGTTTGAGCATTGTCTATTTCGTATTTCTTTTTATATTTTCTATTCTTTTACAATATGTACAATATATGACTACTGATATCATGGCGCAGGATTTGTTTTTGCTATTTTCGTTTAATAAAGGGTCATTTTCAGAGTTACAACTTGTACTGTATATGGTGACATTTGCTATTCTATTACCGATAAATTTCAAAGCTTCTTATTATTGGGTTATATAGTACAATTTGTTACTGTCATAAGTTTTATATGCTTTAATTCTTATAACATTTTCAAGTTTAATAAATTTAATTAATTCATTACCGTTACGTTAGCAAAATTTGGTTGTAGTAGAATAGAAACGTTTTCAAAAAACTGAAGCCAACACTCAACAAGCTATTGTCGCTATCCTATTAGCCGTTTTTCTCCTCTTAGCCTATTGTCAATTTATTTTAATGATAGTGAATTCTTGGTAGACCTGAGCTTTTTTACCGCTTTCTTTAATGGTTTTCAGTTTTTCCACCAATTTATTTAAGCGAGGTAAAACTTCCCGACCGGTTAAGAAATAACGCGTTATTTCGGGTACGCCTATGTGCGTTATTTCGAAATAAAGATTGATTTTCTTAATCCAATATACCATTTACCAATAAATTATATTGGGATGCGCGTTAATTTGGGTTCATGTGCGTTGGTTCGGGATCACATATGGGCCCGATTTTCAAAATAACGCGTTATTTCGCGTTTATTCCGGTATTTGAAAATTTTAAAATTTTAAAAATTTGGAAATTGAAAATTCGAAAGTTTGAAGATTAAAACATTCGAAAACATTTCTGGCACCATATAACTCGGAGCAGAATAATTTGTAATTTTTTTTTTTTTTGGAGGAACATTATAAGTCACATGCTACTTCTGAATATACAATATAAACTTCGTAAAATGTCCTTAAGACTAGATCTTAAATTTATATAGTATTTGTCTTGTCGCATTTTTTTTTTTTTTTATGATGCACAATACTCTTATAGACAAATCCTTTTCACCTATTATGATAGTGTTCAAAATCGAACCAAAAAATGCAGTCGATTAATTGTCCAAGAATTTTTTAAAAAATCGATTATGATTAACTAATTGATTAATCGATAACGGTTTGCAAAAAGTGATCATAATGTCATGTAAAATCACGAGAAATCAGCCGATTCTAGTAGATTTTTCGATTCTTAGAGAATTTTAAAGATTCCGAATAAAATCGAAAATTATGATCAATAGGGAATTAAAATCTCGGAAATTTTTCCGCTATCATCATCACGAAATCACAGGGTCACACCTTTTTGCAAACCGCCATAATCATGGCTTTGCTAAAATCTTTGATTATCATGATTCTATTTAGAAACAATTAATCGATTAATTATTGACAATAGACTTTGAAAATCGATTAGTTGTCTAATAAAATTATAGAAGATCAATTAGTCGATTAATCGATTTTCGATTTGTTATTAATGTTTATTTCTTTGGGATTTTATCCAACCCAATTTGACTTTTTTTTTATTTTTACTAATAATTTTTGTGATATAGGTAAGTTTGTAGTGTTCTAGTCTTTTCTTTTCAAATTACAAGAAACAGATGTTCACAAAACGTAACATTTCTTATAGTGAAAAATAATATTGTTTCCAAAAAAGTTCAGTGAAGAAACAAAAATGCCTTATTGCAATATGGCAGATATCATACTTGGCAAACATAGAGATGAGGACGATGAAAATTTTTATAGCGACCCATAAAAATGTTCATTTGTTGTTCTTGTGAGTGTTGGTGAGCATACACATACACCACTACCACCAAGTCATATTCCAGAAGCTATAAAAGATCGATTAAATTTAATGATTAGTTTTGATTATAGAATATCATGTTGCTCAAGGCATAATAATAAGTACTGTACTATGTCTCTTTGATGAGTTTTTCTAATTTTGTTTTTTTGATAATAATTAGAGATACTTACTATACACCTAATCTATTTCCCAATATCACACACCCTCCACAGTCGAATTCAATTTTGCATTTAATAGCATGCAAGCAACAGACTCTAATCTCCACAATAACGATCTTGACTTTATAGGAGGTAAAGCATTAATAGAAATCCTTAATCGAACAAAACGATGCTATTGCGCGATTGTTTAAAAGATGATTTCTAGAATTGGATGAACAATATGATGAATTATTGCCGGACTTTTGCGATCTGAAAGAAAGGGTAGAAAATCACGAATTTGTTTTTATGTAGAATTATATAAAATTTTATATAGAATTTTTATAATTTTTATATATAATTATGTAAAATTTTTATGTAGCTATGTAATTATGGAAAGGCATCGCTCTTTGGCTTCAAGATGGTGGTTATAGAGTAAACGACAATCTTGAGCATGCCCTTGCCTGTTCATTAATTTCAATGTTTCTAATAACCTTAAACATATAGATTTCAATGTACACCTTAGAAACCAATTGATATTTGGTGGTATTTATAATAATACTACCATAACTTGCATGGATCTCTACGGGTATTTAGGTCCGTTCACTGATAAACTCGTAGAGATCCTTTATAATAAAAATCAAGGTGGGCAGTGTCTTTTATTAATTCTGTAAAGCAATTACAATGGAAATGCGCTAAAAACCATGAATGGACTATTTCACTTTTTCAAATTATAAGTAGAGGATCATGGTGCCCATATCGTGCAGGAAATGTACGTTGTACAATTGAAGATGTAAGACAAGTGACTAGAAGCAGAAATGAAAGATTGCCTTTCTAATAAATATATTAATAATAATACAAAGTTGCATTAGCGTTGTGATAAAGGTCATGAGTGGTTTGCTTCATTCGCTAAAATTAAAAGTAGCGGATCAGGTGTCCAGAATGTTCTCATAGAAAACCTTCACTCTTGAATATATTAAACAGTATGCATATAATAAAAATGGTAAATGCCTTTCCGAAAAATATTCTAACTCTAATAAACCATTACAGTGGTAGTGTATTAAAAGACACCAATGGATTGCCCGATTTAATAACATAAAAATGGAACATGGTCCATATTGTTCCAAATACAAACGCGAAAAATTGTGAAATTACAACCAAGTATCTTGGACCACCATCTGAGAATTGTAAACCAGATTTTTCAAAAACACCTGAATATCCAACTAGACTACAACTTGATGTTCCATATTATAATTATGTTAATCGAAGTATAAGAGCAACAACATGAAAGATATAACGAATTTTTTCATAAAGGAGATTCCAGTAATTTTGTCCGCAGCAAGAGCGGGATCAACTTAAGAAAAGAATTATGCAAAAAGAACTGGATTGTACTAAGGTATGTTTGGTATTATGAAGCCCACATGTAGTTATTTTTGAATATTTTCGAGAGTTGGGTCTTATTAAGTAAACTTGAAACTTTTTAAATACTTCTGTTTTATTAATTAGATAATTGTAATTTCAGTAAATACAGTATATCCGATATATTTCGCGAAAATAATTCAGTTTGCAGTTATTTTATTAACAAACATTTGTAGAATTTCTCCGATGATTATATCAATCAAAAACATGATGTCGTTCAGCAACCTCAAATGTATTGCCCCTGCGAAATACTACCTTATATACTCGTCCAACAATAGGATCTTGTCGACCTGTCACAGCGTTATGAAAATTATCATATAAATCTCTGATAGCGTCTTCTACTGTTTGCATACAGTTAAATGCGAATACAGAATTTGATTGTTGCAGGTGTTGACTTGGAAATGCGATAGGAACATAGTATTTAGTTCCTCTAATTATTAATCCAGAAAAATAAGTTAAAAAAAATTTTTTTTTTGAAATAAATTATATAATAATATTTATGGTTATACCATTGGCAACATTAACTTCTGTGATATTTCGACTTATGAGTCCCGGTTGATTATATTCAATTATTAATAAAGGGTCACAGCAAAAAATTTCTTCGTCATCATCCTTATGTTTATCTTGAATAATTTCACCCCATAAAGCAACTAGTTTTTTTGTTTCTTCGGAAAACTCTGTTGGAAATTCCATCTTTACATTGAAATAGTCTTCCCTATCTTAAATGTTTTGTGAGTATCGGCATTTGTCAATTTGAAATATACCTTATTCACTTATATCCAAAATACTAGAAGTATGGCTAACAAAATTGGACTAAGATTTCCCAGAAGAAATAAAAGCAAAAAAACGCCCAATAATAAAATAATTAAAAGTGGTGAGCAACAACAGAGAAGAATGTAGTATATGTTATGACTTTATGTGCGTTAAAAAAAAGGAGATTAGTGATCAAATAATCGGGCTGGATGTTAAAAGTTCGGTTCGGTTCCAAAAGTCGAGTCTTAATTAAAGTTCGGTTCCAGGTCAGACTTGAAACTCGACTCGCATTTTCATGTGCAATTTGTACATTTAAATTCTTTTTAGCGCTATAAAATTGCACGTGAAAATGCGAGTCGAGTTCCAAGTCTGACTTGGAACCGAACTTTAATGAAGACTCGACTTTTGGAGTCGAGTCGAACCGAACCGAACTTTTAACATCCCCAGGCACAGGTCACTCCTGCATGGGTCATTGGCTTGCCCCGGGGAATAGATTAGTTGCGCAACCAAATTTCAGCAGATCGGCCAAAATTTAGGGTCGGAATAGGCCAGAGCCGGTCGGCATTAAACATAATATATGTCACAGATTATCGTGAAATTTAGATTTATTTTATATACGATTTTTAAAATTTTTTGGGGTCTTTTTTGTAAGCTTTTTTTTT